TACTATGAGTATTAAGAGAAAACCTTTGATTCAATTAAATTTTTCCTATACATATGAATATTTTTTTTTGTTCTGTCTAGTTTTACAATGAACAGCCATGTATTCTAATGATCTCTTGGCAAATTACAATGATTCACAAATTAACGAAGCAATTCCATTTTCTACTCTATCAATGCATAACAATGCATAACAATTGGTTATATAAAAAAGTTCAAAGATAGTTGAGGTGTTATAAGCTTCACGTTTATTGTCTTTTGAATGTTGTCATTTTTAGGATGCAAATGTAGCGAAAACTGCTATGTCAGCACAAAAACTGCAATAACAAAATAAATATTCGTTGACAAACTAAATTGGAGTAAAGTGTTAAGACTGAGTGTCGTACAATTACATATGTATTATAATTTTTGTTAAATTTGAATAGCTGGACGAGGACCAATCTCCATAGCACCGTTAGTATCGTCTACCTATAAATTGGAATGGAAAAATTTGGCTGTATAAATTTGTACAACTCTTTATATGATACTTCATATTTAACTTTCCGCTCTTTATTTCATATTCTCTTTTGATTTTTCGCTAAAATGTTTAACTCTCTTGTTTTTGACTTCGTAAAAATAATTAGAAATTTAAAAGAGTATGTATGCATTAAGTGTTTACAAACTGCTCAGCTCTTCTCTTATGTTTCTAGCAAGTCGCAACCTCTCTCTTCTTTAAAAATAAAATATATTTGTAGAAAAAAAGATGTGAGAAGACCAAAGTAAATGCTGTGCATTCACTCAACGAATACACGTGTAAACAAACCCATTATGTGCTCTTCAATTACATGAGTGTATAAACACATACATACATAACATATAATTACAATTTAATATATATGAAAAAAAAACTTTTATAGAAATATTACAGTTTTATGACAAATATAATACTTTAATAATTATAATCAAAACAATTTATTATTGTTTTTCAAAAATTCTTGTAATAAAAATCAAAATATTTTCTTACTTGAAATTCCAATAATTATTCAACAATATTTTTCAACCAAACGTACATACATCTTATTCTTTTACAATAAATTCATGTTCAAGTCGAACATATAAAATTTGTATACAAAATTGTTTCTGACAATACAAAAGTGAACAATTGTGAATTAAAATGAGAAATAAAATTTTCCCGGTTTGTTAAAATTGCATTTGTTAATATTATAAATGGCAATTGCTAATTTTGTAGAATTATATTCGAGTAGTGTGACAATTTCAAATGACAACACTAATGACAGACAATTCTTTGAAAATTGAAGTTTATCTAAGGTAATAACTGAATTAACAATATAATAGAATAATACTATATAACAGTTATAACCTCTAACTTAGAGACATCATAACGTCTAGTTGTACATAACACTATACTACAAACATATCGAGAAATTACTCATAATTTTTCCAATATATAATTTAAAAAATATTTATTAAATTGAAGAGTTATAGCTATTTTATAATAGTTTCAATTTATGTCTTTTAAATCTTTATAGCTTGTAAATTGTAAAAATACTTTCATATATACAAAGAAGAGTTTAATTTAATAAAATGATGAATCTCTCTACTACACACTTATTCATAATAATCGATTGAGATATGAAGAAGAAAGATAAAGTATTTGCTTTTTAATAGGATGATAAATTCAATTGTCTATTAGAGTTGTGGAAAAGAATTTAAAGATAAAACAAAAAACTTGATGTACTTGAAAATATTAGAAAAATTAACAATTAAAAAATATGAAAGAAATTATAATTTTTTGAAAATTTTTATATATAAATTGATGCTTGCGTAGAGCGCAAGCTAACAAAATATTTTAATCATATTTATAATTGGAATCTTTTAGACAATTAAATTTTATAATTATTAATCATAAATGATGTACAATTAAAAAAATTTCTGTTTTATTTTATTATTTATGAATTAAAATATAGAAAATAAACAATTTTTAATGTTAAGATCAAATACCTTTAATAACAATTTAAATTGTTTTGAAAACAATTTGTAATTGTTCAATCAATACATTTCTTTGTGTTTTAATATCAATTATTAAATTCATTTTATACACTCATATTATTCCATCATTTCCGCGAATTGAGCAAACTTTAAAGCATTGTATTTAATGAGAAACACGATTGTCGTCTTCTTAACCTATGTCAATGAACTTCATTCAAATAATAATGAGTGTTCAATATTAATTGCTATTATTTCGATAATTATTCTCTTAATAATTTTTTAATAATGTCTGAATTTCTTCTATATGTATACTTAATAATTCATTATTATTTTGTCTGAAACTCAAAAACATTGATGTATATTTAAAATTAGGTAAACAACTGTAATGTTTAAACTAAACGTTATTCAATTAAATTTAATATTGTCATTCATTTGTGATATTGTTAATACCTTTGAGCTACAATTAATAGCAAATTTTGAAAAAATTTTAATTACAAATAATTTAATTGTTAAGATTAAAACAAGACACATTCTGACATTCATTTTAAGGAAATTTCATATTTGTAGGCGTGTAATCTTTTTAAGAAAATTGCATATTTCTAGGCGCATACTCTTAATAATAAAACTTTATGTATATGAGGGTTATTAACGGAATTACTTTGAAATATCTTGTAAAATGTTAAATTTTCCATGTAAACTTGTCTAATTTTAAGATTTTTAAATTTCACGTACAATATTAAGACTTCAACAACTAATTTCTATGCTAAATATGAAAACAAAAAATTTGCATAAACCTTCCGAAAATAAACCTTCTTGAATTCAATTTAATTTTCAAAAATTTTACTCATTTTCAATATAAGAATTAGAAATATTACAATTCTTTATTTAAATTTAACTTTCAAAATTACAAAATATTCATTAAGTTTTAAATAAAGTAAAAAAAAAAAAACATTATTTACATTTCTCTTAATTATTTAATGAAGCAAATTAAAAAAACACACAAACATTTTTTCTACCCCATTTTATTTTATTATTGTATACGGAAATTAATTTAAATGTCACACAAATGTCAATTTTTTTTTCTTCTTTTTTTATTTTTTTTTTTAAATCACAACCTAATTAAAGTCAACTTTATTTGAAAATGACAAAAACAGGAAGTTTTTTTTTATATTTTTTTTTTTTTGTGTTATTTTGCAAACCATCATTTTCACCATTTTCCTTGCGATGACAGAACAAATAAAGAATGTTAAAAAAGTTCAATCAGAAAAAAATAAAGCACAGTTACACTTTTATATTCATACACTTGCTGATATTTACATACATACATACATATATTACGTACATACACCAATAAATTCAAATTTAAAAAAAAACACATTTACCAAATTTTTCATTCCACCACTACCGGCACCATCACTACACTTGGTACATTTAAATCTAACTATATTTATAGAGACACCATTTAATTCGTACACCTTTTCTATATATTCTTAGTTATTAACATCGTTACGTTGTTGTTTTTTTTTGTGTGTATGTATATGAAAACTTTACGTTGTATATTTTGTTGATGACAGCTAATTTGATTTATTATGAGCATTATAAAAAGTTTTTTGTCTTCGTCCTTTTTTTTTTTTCTTTTCTTACATTTTGTCACCATTTTAATTTTATTCTTTTGTTTTATGTATTTTTGGATTTTAATTAATTTAAAAATAAAAATACCGAAAAAGAATTAAAATAAAATGATATCAACGCTGATGTTTTAGGATGTTCGTGCTTAAGGATTTAAAGAATGAACCAAAACAGAATTATCAACAAAAAAAAAATTAATTTGGATATTGTGATTCGTGATTTAAAATACTTCTCAGTGTATTGGCACTTATTGGAAAATAAAGAAAATTTCATTCAAAAAAAGAGCATTGAAGTAATAAGTCTCTTTTCTACTACCGTCCCAAAATAAAACTTGAAAATACTGAATATATTAGATTCTGAAGTGGGAACTGAAATTGGATTTTAGTGATTAATTTGTCTTGGTACTTGATGAACTTTTACATTCAATTCATATAGCTATTTGAAATGTTACAGTTTCCAAATCAAAAACAATTTGTAAGCTACACCAACAGAAAAATTTCTCCGATCATTAAAAATCGTAAGCAAATATTATGTTTGTTACCTAATCCATTAAATTAACCGTTATCTTAAGCTAATTTTTCGTTATTTTTTAAAGTAATTGCTGTTCTAGATGGCAACTCGGATTTCTTTTAAATTTATTGCTAGCTTAATTATAGCAAAATTTTTTTTTGATATAAGATAGAGATTATATAGAGACATCTCTAAAATAAAAATATTGATATATAAGATTTTAAATAGAACGTTGCCTACTTGGCGAACATATCAGAAATGTCAGCTGCTAAATATCAACCGTTGTTTTATAGAATCTGTCGTATTGAAGAAGTTAGTGACCCATATCACTTATTCTAATATCTTGGTCTAGCGGAGTCTCGCTTCTTTTGATATACATAACAAGTTTAACGTATATATATATATTAAGGGTGTCAGTCGATTTTTGAAAAATTCGAACTGATTCGAAATAAAGATAATGTGTAGTACTTACCTTGTTCAAGTCTGCCTTTAAGTGAGCCATGTTGATTTAGTTTAGCCGGACCAAGCATGTTCATAACGAGTAGATAATTACACCAAATTTATTCAATTTACATAAATGTTAAAATGACCTATGGGAGTAAATGCGAATGAATACTTTTCCCATTGGCCATTATATAATTGAAGGTAGTTAAAAGAATTTTATAATATGCCCTTTAAATGAACGCATATATTTAATATTATTGTACATGTATATGAGCCCAATCGAAATATTCTCAAAACCAAATATGAATAAGAATAAGCTATCATTTTATAAAATTTTTATAAAATTAATTTTATTTCAACTTTTATTCTAGCTTGAAACACTCATAACCTAAAATTTTATTAATTTCATTTTTTTTTCTTTTATTTTTACAGGTAAGTCGATGACTGCTCTGGAAAATTATTTAATCATAAAAAAATTAATTAGGTTGGGAGTAAGTACATGTTTTTATATAACAAAAAAAACAAAAAAGGATAAGTGGAAAATCATAGTGAGTGTGTGTGTGTTGGTTGTATTCGTTCCGAATATGAGATAAGAATAATCTCATTGAAAAATAAAACATTAAAATTATACAAAAAGAGAATAAAATAATATTATGTGTGTGAGTGGAAGGGAGGAAAAATATGAGAGACAAAAATGTCATGGAAATAAAAAAAAAAAGCACGATGTACTCCAGTTTGTTGAACGATAAAGATGAAGATTTTTAATATTTTTTTTTTTTTTTAAATTTTACAATTTTTTTTTATCTTTATTTGAATTTTGCTTATTCTTCCTTTGAATTTCTTCCTTAGAGGATCCTATATGTAGACTATTTCTTCGAAGTATAACAACAAATATTTTAAAAATGAAAAAAAAAAAATAAATTGTAAGAAAAAAATAGTGTCTATGATAGAAATTGAAGACAGGAAACGTTGACTTTATTCTATGATTAAAGGATATCTTTTTTTTTTTTTCTTTACACTTTTTGGTTTTCTTTTTAAAAGATAACAATATTTTATGTTTATTGTAGCAAAGGATCTTAAAGTAAATTACTTGACATATATCTTAATAATATCCTTATCGTATATATGTATATAAGAGAATTCTTGTAATACTCGTATGTATAAGGAAGGAAGAACAAAAGAGATGTTGTTCTGCTAACATGTTGTTTTCATTTTCGGAACTTTATATAAAGGAAAAACGTAAGCAATCAAATATTATTAAATCAGGAAAGAAAATACTATATGTTCAGGCCCGTAAATATTTTACAACATGGGAACGCATACGTACATTTGTACCACTAATATTCTTGAATATAAAATTCCTCTAAGAATACATAGAATATATGTGTGTTAGCTGGAAAGAGATAGCAAAAATGTTGTTTTTTTAGATTGATTGATATTTATATGTTTATTTGTGCAGGACTATACGTTTATCTTATGTTTTATCACTGAAATCATGTAGAAAAGTCATTTTTGTTTTTTTTTAATATGTAATTTTATTAATATTAATGATTGCAATACGATATTATTTAAGAAATATGTATTAGACATTACCGGGGCTATGGTGATTTTTATGATTTTCTATATACACAGATTGCAAGCCATAATGATAATTATATATATTAAAAAATATAATTTTGAAAAATTGAAGAAATTATTTCTTTAGTGAAATCGAATTTCAAAATTTTCATTAAAATTTTAAAGATTTTCAATAAATTTTCTTAATAATTCAAAATCATCACTCTCATTTAAAAGAAATGTACAATCATCTATTCTGGCGGCAACAATACTTTATAGCTACTTGTATGTCTGCAAACCAAAAATTTTTTTCGTTGTCCTTCACGTGTGTGTCCGGCTGGGGCCCCTCTCTTACTACTACTACTATTATCTATGACATTTTCGGTTTTTTGTACATGACTGCCCTTCATTTATTAGAAAAAATATTCAATGACAACCGCGTTAAATGCTCGTATACTTTTCTAAATAATGAATGTAAGAGTATAACAGTTTTTTTTCATATTTTTTACATGTTTTGCATTTCCTACGAAAATGTTCTGGAGTTCAAACTGGGTTGTCGTGGCATTTGACGTATAAACGATCACTTATTAGGAAAATTTAGGTAAAAATTCATTTGTGAGAATATAAAACACTATATCGTTCTCATAATGGGAAACTCATGAATTTGGAGAAGAAAATTGTAGCTTATCTGTTCTATTACAAAAAAACTGGAAAACTTATCAAAATTGCTATAATATTAGGTAGTTTTAGATAATTTTGCTGATTCCTGAATTGGTCAGTATTGGATATAAATGTTCTGGAAGGTATTTTATTTTGAAACACACGAGGGATTTTAAATGTCATTGCGATGCATTTGTGATGTAAAATTATCCCATTTTAATTGAACAACACATTTTCAGTTCAAAAACACTGAAAACTGAGAACTTAATTGACATTTTATTTGAATTCTAAATTAAAATTCTAATTAATATATTATTTATTTTTCAACCTTGAGTTGTTATTCAACTCAATTTGAATCAATTTAATTTAAATAAAAAATATACTTAACTACGTACTCATTATGTCTACACACACACATCCATATATAACAAATATTTTTTTAAACGGAACAAAACTCTTCAATCTTCACCAGTATTTTCTAAGTTCTAATTTATGTATTTTTTTTTTACAATCATAATATTATTTTACTACTCTCTTGCTTACTTCGCCTCCTCGTCATCAAGAAGTTTTTCAAGTAAAACACAAAATACAATTTTTTTTGCATCTTTTGTCGCAATTATTTTTTTTTACTTTAAAAAGAATAATTAAAAACAAAAAAATGAAATACTTTAAATGGATGAAAAATACTGAACAGATTTTCCCCTTAAAAAAAAATTTTATGTTTCGTTATTTCATTTTTTATAATTTCGCGACCAAACAAATTATTTTTCGCGCCAAATCAAGTCATAAAAATGTTCGCCGCTAGCGAAAACATACATTATTTTTGCCATTTTCTAATTTTTATATTTTTTTGATTTTCTTATTATAATTTTTGTTGTCTGTACTTTATATTTGTACGTTATTCCTGAAGTGCTCCAGCCAGACGCTCTATATACATATAATACAAAATACTAACTACTACTACTACTACTACTACTACTACCAAAGAAAAAATGAATAACACTATCTGTACATTTTCATATCATGTTTTAATTCTACACTAAAGGCTATTCATATAAAAATCATTTTTAATGTGCGGCTGTTTTTTTTTTTTTGTGAATCGAAAAGGCTCGCTTACTATGCCCGTTGTTGAAAGTTAAGAGACAAAAAAAACCAGAAAAATTGCAAAAAATTAAAAAAAAAAAATAGTGAGTGTCTGAAAAATGGTAGTGGTAATAATGATTTTATTATGTGATATGCCGAATAAATTCTGTTCTGTTCGGCTTTTTTTTTTCATTTTTGCATTTACTTAAAAAGTAGTAAAAATATCATTTGAAATCATAAAAGAACGAAAATGTTTATGCAAAGTAATTGAAGATTTTCGCAATTCGATATAAAGACAAAAAAAAAACAAAAACTACATTAAAAGAGAAGAAAAAACGAAGAATTAAATTGAAAAGTAAACATGATTCGCGATTAAAAACTACTAAAAATGATGGTTATTAAATGTTAAGAAGGAAGTGTGCGCGATAAAATAATATTTTGTCATTAGAATATTGCTCTATATACAACGTATATGCTAAAAAGGAGGGAAAGATAATGAAAAACAAAAATGAATTACTTTTTGCTCTCTTTGATTGTAGAGTTTTTTAAAATTTTCTTTTCAAAGCAAATTACATCAATTTATGTAGAAAGTACATTAATTTTTTCCTATTTATTTAGTAATTCAAGAAAAATATACTAAAGAAAACTCAGACGACATTTTATTTAATGATAGTGAACAGTTTTTTTGTAAATGTGTACAAATATTTATAATTTAAAAGCTGAAAATTGAAAAATTAAAATTTATACTCGAGAATTGTTCAAAACTCTCACTTAAAATGCTTTCTTATTGTCACATTAATTGTCAACTATGTGCTGAAGGTGACATACTTTAACGCTGCTTGATTTATGTTATACCTTAATAATTATTTTGATACACTTACATACATATATAGGTACTTATCTTATGTACGTACGTTTTAGAGATTCCACTCAATTTCTAAAAAAATATATGTGAACTTATTAGTGTGAAAATTGCAAATGTGTTCCTATTTCAACTTTGTATCCATCATAAATTTTTGCTTAAATCAGAATTTTCGGTTTCATTTATCTTTATATTTTTCATGTACTAAAAATTTTGTGCTGCACTGTAATATTATTTTGTGTCAAATGCCTATACAGAAATTGCATATTATATCGTAATTTATACTTTTTTTTTTTCAAGAAATTTATTTTGTAAGCCTTCAGCTAGATTCCTCATTTTACATCATCTCGCGTTTACAAGGACTCTAGAAAATATAGTTTATAGTTTCATACATAAATATAGTAAAAAAAAAAAAATAAAAAAAAAGAAGAATAGTAAAATGAGAATGCAAAAGAAAAAGAAAAAATGTATATGAAAAATTATACTTTGTTAACCCACGCCAATGGCAAATTATAACTGTTAATAATATTATGTGCAAAAAAAAGAGAATAAGAATACATTCAACCATAAGCAATTAATCCCTATCTCATTTTTCTTTATGTACCATTTATAAACTCTTATTCTGACATTTCACTTCTCTTTTACTAAAATTATGACTATTATCGCCGGAAATAAGTTGTCTTTTTTATATAGAAAATATTCTCTAGGCATATTTTTTTTTTAGTTTTTACTAAATAAACACAAAGAAAAATTTTGTGCTCGATAAATTATTAATTTAGAGGGGATTTATAAGAAATCGGAAGCTGTTTTTTGCAATCGATAAATAGTTTAATGTGGCAATATTGTACTTTAATATAAAAGTTCTAATGTCATAATTAAATAGGCTGTAATTTTAATCTACGAAAGGGAAAGTTGGGTTAAATTTAAAATTGAAAAAAATTTTTGAGCTAGTCAACTAAGGTTATAAAAAATTTCCTATATTCAAAACTGTCTTTCTGTACTTGACACGCCATGTGACTGATATTGTAGATTTGTACTGCGACCACGTATAAGGATCTATTGTGCGCCACCATCCGAGTGCGGGGCATGCCCTACAACACACGCTCGAGACCCACCCTCCTGATGAACTCAAGCAACTTGTGAGGACCAGAAGACCGTAACTTCGCCACCGTTAGAGCAAAGCCTCCCAGCACTCCCCCCTCCTACGAGCAAGAACATCACACTCCCCCAGGATGTGATTGATATAATCCAACTTATTTTATTGCTTCCTTATACTTATTTATTGCTTTCAAAAATTTGCTCAATTAACACAATTTAATTTATTCATAAATCTGACTAACTTGAAAAAGAAATAAAAAAATCAACAATGTCACCATTTCTCATTTTATACTTTGCCAATTATCATCTTATACGACGATATCGTATCATCAATATTTCAAAAACTATTGAGAAGTTGTCACCGTATATAAAAAGATGAACTATATATGAATTAAATTTATTGCTGAACAATGAACGTATAATTTGGGAATTATAATTGAACGTAATTAACAACATAATAATTATTGTTATGACAGTGTTATTGTGATGACAGTAAAATGATAATACATTGTATTATATCGTAAAGGTACAATAATATAAGAACAAAAGTTTTTCATTTTTATTTGATGTTTGATAGATTTTTGTTGATGTCAATTAAAAATTTTTTTGACGTCTAACGAAATTGAGATTTCTCCTTTTCTCTTACAGATTTTTTTCTGTAAGAAATTTTTTACTTTAATTTAAATTTCAAAGGATGTATTAATAGTGAAAAAAATTGTTGACAGAAAAAGATTACAGGACAAAACAAAATCGAAAGAGCGTTTTCTCATTATTTTTACAGATTTGAGCGGAAATTTTTAATACCAATATGATTTGGGTTTTATGCCATATAAATAAGGTCAATGATATAATATCATATCCATATTTAATAATTAACTGCTAGAGAAGATTTCAAGATTTAAAAATCATTTACATAATTGGATAATATCAACGTAGAAAAAGGTAAAACATTACCTATATATAATACGAAAATTACTCTACGGACGATGGGGTTATTTTTTTTAAGGATATTAATAATTTTTGGTTTTATGATATATGTGTGAAATTTTTATTGTGTATATACTACAGATGAAACTGTACATTAATCTCAGCCATATGTTCCGGATATTTAAGATAATATGTCATAAATTATAATTGATGGAATCGTTATACACACACATACTTTCATAGCAATCAATCATTTATTGATCTTAAATTTTAAAAATTATTACATTGTCTCATATTGATTAACATACTTATTTCTCAACAAATTTGAGCTGATTTGCTATAAATCAGCTGACTTTATTTTTAAACAGATTAAAATAAACAAATATTTTTTCGACCGGCAGCTTTTTTAAACCACCTATATTTGAATATTTTTTATGTATTGTAAAAACAAAGTCTGTGCAACCAGAGTACAAAACTCAAAGCTGAAGAATAGAATTCAAAGAGTCAGGTCGGAGAGTCGTACTTGAAACCTGAATAAGAGTTGAAGAGTTGAAGTTGAGCAGTCGAAGACTCGAATATGAAAAATCAGGTGAGGTGTTAAAGTGTCGCAGTCGAAAAGTAGGAGAGTCCAAACCCCAATTTGATATAGGATCTGAGACATTTTAACCATTTAAGAATTTGAGTCTGTTATTTATTGCACATATATGCATATATATATACGGATATATGTGCATATTTGTACAAATAAAATGCATAAAGAAATTAAAAAGAACATTTAATATTTCGAACAGTTAGAACAAAAAAAAAACGAGATGACCATAAAAAAATTTATTCAAATTTTTGAAAGAATCATTTCAAATCTACATCTAATTAATACAAAAAGCTATGCCATATAAAAAGATATATTTATGATTATAAATATTAAACACAATACTACATACATATTTCAATTGCTGCCATTCCAAATATTTGTATGAAAAATATTATTAGCTACCTAAATGAAAAAATAATTAATCGAGCTAAATGTGCTGTGAATTTATGTATGCAATTATTCAATTAACGAAATCTGCAATTATTGTGTGATTAACGTGATACTGGCGTTGAATATGCGGACTCAAATGTTATTTTCAATTTAATTTTAATTTTACATTCATAATGATGTATATGGAAAAGGTGTATTGAAAAAAATCATTAAAAACAGATTTCTATTATACACACATACGTAAAATGTACATATTGTGTACACTGTGTGGGTACTTATGTATTATACATATAAAGAAATAATTCGATTAATTACCGTTTTATAAATGGTAAAATCATTAAAATCATTCCTTTAGAAAATCAAAATTTTAACACATATTATATTTCAATTTAAATTGTTATACTCGTATTCACGTTTTAAATGGTTTTTATTTTAATTTTTTTTTTGTGTTATATTCATGTCATTAATATTTTAACACGTCTCATTTGAGTTTCTTGCCCTGAAAATAAATTTAGCGTAAAATTTTCGTGAAAAAATTTTTGATTTCTTTTTCATATACATAGTATTATATGAAAGTATATATATTTATGTGTGTACCATATAGGATTGAACTTATATATTTATTATATTAATTAAAATATGTGCGACCGGACACGTATTATATTGGTGACAGAATAAAATGTTGCAATCAACAATATTTTTTCTCTTTTTTTTTTCAGTATTATTGCAAAATCAAAACAATTACTATCGTGCCATATGAAAATTTATTCATTTAGGGCAACACTATTTTCTTATTGGTTTTTGTATTATGACTTTTGAATTTTTTTGCATTATTTGTTTTGACTTGTATTGAATTATTGTTAAAAATTTCCGGTCATGTTAAAAAATTTTATATTTGGATATCAAATTGTAATAATAATGATGTCATTGTTAAGTATATTGTATAAGTATATAAAATTACAAAATGAATATGTAAATATCGTTTAGTATTTTAATATTGATTCGAAAAGAGTTTAAAGTTGTG